CTCAGTTGGAAACTCTGAGTCAAACCCTGGAATCACGATTGACCTTGCGCGGGACTCCGATGAAGAAAATGCAAAGGCCCAAATTCAAGAGGCAAAGGAAGAACCCAGAGGAGGATGATATCAAGGTTTTTTTTTCTGAACCATTTTGCCGTAAGGATGATGTAAGTGAGACTTTTTGCATTTCTTCTGAAAATCTTAATATCATTCTAATTATTTTTTACTCTTCTTTTTGTTCTATCAGCCAGCAGATAAGCCTCCGTCAACATATAGCTGTTTGTGGTGTAAGAAAGAAGTCCGGGTCTCAGCGTCTAGTCTTTCCAATCTTCGTGTGCATCGTGATGGCTCTCGTCCAAGTGGAAGGGTGTCAAACGGATGTCCAAACCGTGCAAAAGCTATCGCTGCTGGAGCTAAACTTCCTCAGACGGCCCTTGATGAAGAGAAAAAGAAGAAAGGAACTCAAGAAATCACGACTCACTTTGCTAGAGTAGAAAAGTTTGACAACATTATTCTTAATTGAATTGTAGCTCTATGGCTGTTGCGCCAGGCAATACCTTGGAATCAAGTTGAGGACCCTTATCTTCAGGCCGCCTTCAACTACTGTGAACCTGCTGCGAATTTGTTCAAAAGAAAATGGGCGGCAACGGCTTCAAGAACGGCGTACTTGGAATTACAAGAAGAAGTGGTTAGACAAATAAAAGTAAGTAGTTTATTCTCATTAAATTCAAAGAACAATCTACTTATATTGTTCAAATTATATGTAATCAGGCAACCAACAGCAAGTTCAATTTGATACACAATGTATGGACGACAAAAGGAAATCACTATGGATTCATTGGCGTAGCCGCATCTTTTATCAATAACGATTGTAATTACGTTGTGCTTCATTTAGGCCTCAAATTGGTCACCTGGTTTCATCAAGGGGATTTGCTGGCTGCCCCTATTGCCAATATCTTGCAGAAACATCAACTCTACAATAAGATAAGTATTTTTAACTTGTTAATTATTTTCATGATAAAAGGTCAAACCTAATTTTATTTTCTCATATTTACATGCTATGTCAGACCACCGATTCAGGTTCAAATAACAATACCATGGCTGAAGAAATGCACACCAAACTGGCCCCTCTTGACACGGACGGTAATTTTGAATGGGAGCATAAGACAATGCATATTAAGTGTTTTTGCCATAAAATGGCTCTTGTTGTGAATGCTGGTTTGAAGGAATTGGGACTTCAATCTCTGCCTCCACCAAAAATGAAAAAAGCGTTCTTAGGTTCTTTCCCCTACTCAAGTACGATGCCAAAAATCACCGAGGAGAATGAAGATGGAAATGAAGGAGACAATGAAGACAGCGATTCCAACAGTGAAGCCGGAAGTGATCACACCGATGAAGACGACCCGGAATTGGATGATGATGACGAAGATGATACGGATGATTCCCAGGAGCCCAACAAGAGCGCGAAGGACGGCCAAAAAGAATCTTCCTCAAAGGCCAACAGGAACAATTCGAATGACTTAAATGAGTTGGTTACGGCAGTGAGTCATTATATCTCTGATATTTTTTTTGAGTGACATACTGACAAGTTTGATTGATGTACATAGTTGGACTTTGTAGTTAATACAATTATCGGATCGTGTGCCTGGAGACAGGAATTTGAGCGACGAGCAGCTGGAAAAGGATTAAAAAACCTGATTGCTGGTTATGGTATCCGTTGGGATATAATATATGAAAGCCGAACTCGTGCCTATGAAGCCAGAGAAGTATGTTATTTATCCCATATTTATAAACAACTTGTTGATTAATCTTTGCCAATCTAGGTTATCGATGCAATACTTCATGATGAGTATGACAAATATAAACAACTTGAACAAAGGTCCAAATCAAGCCGCAAGGAAAATCCCAAGAAGCTCGGTCACTTCAAGGAGATCCAGTTCACAAAGAAGGAATGGGCAATGATTAATGAATTGAATGAAGAATTAGAAGTAAGTCCTTTTTATTATTATATATAAGGTTCTGTTTGAAATGCTCATTTGCTTTTTTCAGCCTTTCAACCACCTGACCAAACTTATGGAGGGCGATGGTCCTACCGGTGCTTTCATCTTACCAAACTATGATAAAATAATCTCAGAATTGAAAAGGAAGGAGGATGCCTGCAACCGAGGTCACCTGATGCATCCGATGTACGTCAAAATGATCAAGAAACTAGAGACCTACCAAAGCGAGGCACTCGAGTGTCATACTCTCATTATGGCAACTTTGCTCCACCCCAAATTACGGCTGAAGGCCTTCGTCCATTGCTGGCCTGAAAAAGCGGACTTTGCAAGAAAACTTCTGGAGAAAGAATTTGTGAAACGTGTGAAGGTTCTGAAG